CTAATCAACTTGAGTTAAATTCACATAGGAATTTTGTATGTCTTTACATGATAGAAAACTCGCACTTCTAAATGTTTACGCCACTACTTTATTGTATAGATATCTTGCAATACTAGGCCGCTTATCGATGTGCAAGACAATAAACATATTTAAAGACTATTTTTGTTTTGAATTTCAAACCAAACCCTGGCGAAATAATTGATTTTTGTCTTGCTTTTACGCTGTAGACAATATTAATACATGTGTTGCCATTCGGTCACAAAAGCTGTGGTCTAAATACTAAATACATGAATCAACACAAGGTCAGAGATGCTTTTTCAGGGGGAGATCTTTCAACAATCATATGAAAAAAATCCTGTGTTTGTCTCCTAATGTTGTTGCTTCATAATAGGGCATACCATCATTATCTGTCGATCTACAGAATGTGTGGGTTTGAGACCGAAGGGCATTCCCATGATCTGCAAACCATGGGAGGAGACAGTTCATTATTATTGTAGGCAAAAAGCCATCCAATATGTAGAGTATAAATTAGTATTTCTATACAGTTTAACTCCAGGCGTTTTTACATGATTTTCTGTGTCATTTTTTTAATGTAAAATCAGACTCCCATTCAAACACATATACAATTTCCTCTGGAGTAAGAGTACTTTGTCCAGATTTACAGATTATTTGCTTCGGTCTGGCAATATTTAGCACTAAAATCCGTTATATACACGTTTTAGTTATTGTTAAATGTATAGGATTTTGTAAAACGTGTGTCCTAAGATCTAAATGTTCAAGATGACCGAAGAATTAAACGACTACTAACTACTTATCTCATACAAATCATTCACAAAGAAGTATTTTATATTCGATACTATTTATTTTTGTATAGTTACAACAGAAGTCGATTTATCAACAGATAATCCAACAGCAAATACATAAAGTAAACATAATCCACAGGAAAGGCAATAATAAAAAAAACACATGGGAGGCATTGGTCCATAGTAACAAATCCAGTGTGAAAAAACCCGTAAGAATTTAGATTGAAATCTCTCCCTGTTTAAGAATTCTCTGACGACTTTCATTTCAAAGTCTGGCCTGAAGTTAGGAAGCTCTAGACCTTTCTTATTTCTTTATCAAAAACTCAAAATGTACAAAAAAAAGTTCTTTTTGGTAGTTTTTCACTGCTCTGGGGACGTGTCGTACCTTTAACAATGATTTCAGAAGGGCTTTTGGTCCGCGGTCTTCTCTATAAACGGGCTTAAGGCTGGTGGGCAGAGACCGACTCCTGCTGCTCCTCCGAAAGAGAGGGAGGGGCCAAACTTCACCCAATCTGCAGACTCAATGGATTTTTTTAACCATCGCTGCAAAAAAACCAGTATCCACCTTTTTAAGACAATAACCCTCTTCTCTACAGTGTCCACTCACACTCCGCGTTAATAAAACACTGCAATGATTTACATCTCCTACCAGATTTGCCAAAACTGCATGAAGCAAAGAGAGAAGCGAATATACTTGTCATCTTATGTAGCTTTGACCGCAAACGACCACCAACCGTAATCTCCGTACAAGTTCTGATATCGTGGAAAGCATCTGTTACTCTGAGCTCCACACGCACCATTGTAAAGACGTGCTTTGATCTTGTAAAAAAAAAAATGGTGAAACGACTTATTATTCTAGAACTTTAGATCGATGGCATGGGATTTATTCGTAGTAAGTTATAGTCATATGTGTTATTTCCTCTCCCTGATCTTTGTAGGAAGCCTGTACTTCATTGCCCAGTGCGCTCCGATAGATCTCTTGGTTTAAAAAAAAAATAATAATACAGAAAAATGCATAAAAAAAAGAGAAAAATTTCACGACAAAACCTGCAGAACTATGTGTATCCTGCTGAAACTAACTTGATCCTCTCTCTAGCAACAACGTCTCTATTTGTAGTTCACATATATGCCTGTTCAAAACAAAATCTTGACGGCTGTTTTAAGTTTATGTTGTGTATTTAATGTCGTGCTGGTTTTTACTTTTCGTCTAACTTCATTTTCACTTTTTCTCTCAGAGGCACTGTGGGTGGCTGTATGCACAAATATACAATGTTGTTTTGGTTCGTACTGTAAGGCTGGGTCTGTCGGCGGTTACCCCCAGCAGACACTGGCCCTGAATCTATGTGTTGTGTTATTGTGCCTCTTTATATTTCTTTTTCTTTTCTGTTTGTTTTGTTTTGTTTTTTAAATCTTCTTTTACTCTGTTGTTATCAGCCAGGAGTTGGTACTGCAGCTTTGCTTGTAACCACAATAGTCTGATTCTGTTAATTGATTTAATATCAAAATAAAAATATTAGCACCCCATGTTCTGTGTTGTTTGTGTTTTCATTATTGATCTTTTTGCAATCTGTGACTTTCCTGGTTAAATAATCTCTTTTACAGGGGAGTACTGGCCCCAAAGAGAGGGGACGGGAGTGGGGTGGGTGTTTTGTGGGACTGTTGTACATGTGCCGCGGCCCGGGCTGTTGCAGAGGCAAAAACCCGGGACTGGGAGGAGTTCGGAGAGTCCATGGAGCGTGACTATCGGTCGGCCTCGAAGAGATTCTGGCAAACCATCCGGCGCCTCAGGAGGGGGAAGCAGTTCTTTGCCAACACCATGTACACCATGGGTGGAGAGCTGCTGACCTCGACTGGGGATATTGTCGGGCGGTGGAAGGAATACTTTGAGGTTCTCCTCAATCCCCCCGTCACGTCCTCCGTTATAGAGGCAGAGGCTGAGGATGTTGGGGCAGATACATCCATCTCCCTGGCTGAGGTCACCAAGGTGGTTGGTAGCCTCCATGGTGGCAAGGCGCCGGGTGTGGATGATATCCGTCCTGACTATCTAAAGTCTCTGGATGTTGTAGGACTGTCTTGGCTGACACGTCTCTGCAACATCGCGTGGCGATCGGGGGCAGTGCCAATGGAGTGGCAGACCGGGGTGGTGGTCCCTCTCTACAAGAAGGGGGACCGGAGGGTGTGTTCCAATTATCGTGGGATCACACTCCTCAGCCTCCCCGGTAAGGTCTACTCCAAGGTACTGGAGAGGAGGCTACGGCCGATGGTCGAATCTCGGATTCAGGAGGAGCAGTGTGGTTTTCGTCCCGGTCGCGGAACACTGGACCAGCTCTATACTCTCCATCGGATACTCGAGGGTTCATGGGAGTTCGCCCAACCTGTCCACATGTGCTTTGTGGATTTGGAGAAGGCGTTCGACTGTGTTCCCCGGGGTGTCCTTTGGGGGGTTCTCCGGGAGTACGGGGTCGGAGGTCCTCTGCTGAGGGCCATCCGATCCCTGTATGACCGGAGCCAGAGCTGTGTTCGCACTGCCGGCAGTAAGTCAGACCTGTTCCCGGTGCATGTTGGCCTCCGACAGGGCTGCCCTTTGTCACCGGTTCTGTTCACTGTATTTATGGACAGAATATCTAGGCGCAGCCAGGGGTCGGAGGGGGTCCGGTTCGGAGACCACAGGATATCATCTCTGCTGTTTGCGGACGATGTTGTCCTGTTGGCTCCAACGAACCAGGACCTGCAGCATGCACTGGGGCGGTTTGCAGCCGAGTGTGAAGCGGCTGGGATGAGAATCAGCACCTCCAAATCTGAGGCCATGGTGCTCGACCGGAAAAAGGTGCCTTGCCCTCTTCAGGTGGGTGGAGAGGCCCTTCCTCAAGTGGAGGAGTTCAAGTATCTCGGGGTCTTGTTCACGAGTGAGGGAAGAATGGAGCGTGAGATTGACAGGCAGATCGGTGCAGCGTGCGCAGTGATGCGGTCGCTGTATCGGACCGTCGTGGTAAAGAGGGAGCTGAGCCGAAAGGCGAAGTTCTCGATTTACCGGTCAATCTTTGTTCCCTCCCTCACCTATGGTCATGAACTTTGGGTAATGACCGAAAGAACGAGATCGCGGATACAAGCGGTCGAAATGAGCTTCCTCCTCAGAGTGGCTGGGCGCTCCCTTAGAGATAGGGAGAGGAGCTCAGTCACACGGGAGGAGCTCGGAGTAGAGCCGCTGCTTCTCCACGTCGAGAGGAACCAGTTGAGGTGGCTCGGGCATCTGTTCCAGATGCCTCCTGGACGCCTCCCTGGGGAGGTGTTCCGGGCACGTCCCACCGGGAGGAGGCCTCGCGGAAGACCTAGGACACGCTGGAGGGACTATGTCTCTCAGCTGGCCTGGGAACGCCTTGGGGTCCCCCCGGACGAGCTGGAGGAGGTGTGTGTGGATAGGGAAGTCTGGGCGTCTCTGCTTAGACTGCTGCCCCCGCGACCCGGCAACGGATAAAACGGAAGAAAATGGATGGATGGATGGATGGATGTTGTACATGTTTTTAATGTAGGTAGGGAAAACAGGAGCACCTGGAGGAAACCTTTGTTGACGCGGGGTGAACATGCACACTCCACACAGAAAGGACTGGAGGTGGAACTTCACTATTTTCCCATTGAGCAACACAAAACTAATTTGAAATACCTAGCCCTCATAGTATTAATATTGGTTATTATTATTGATTCATGTGATAAAAGAAAAGGTCAATGTGATGTTGTCCCTGCAGAGAAACTCACCCATCACAGCCACAAGGACGGTCTGTCAGGAGCCGTGGTCACCAGTTCTGATTCTGTTCGACTGGGATATGAACCCAGGACCTTCTTTCTGAAAAGCAAAAGCTATTATAATCTTCATCTTTCTTCTTTGAACTTGTCTTCCAGGGACATTTTGAACTATCCAATTCTCAACATGAGACTCGTGTATATTATGCAAAAAACTGCAATATTTTGTGTGGGTTTTTTACAGTAATGTTTATGTTTTACTATATTATTATTATTTACTTTATTTATAGTGATATGACGTATATATGCGCACATCTTTTTAAATACTGAGAATATCTCTACATTACCCTCATTTTTATTTCCATGAGATGTACATATTTACTGTTAATGGTATTTATAGATTGCATTATGGACTCGCATTGTTTTTTGGCCTTTTGGGCTTTCCCTACAAAAACAAATATGGCGTCTTCCCCTGACGTACACGTCAGAATTTGTAGTCAAGAAATCATAAAATATGACCTGGAAATCAAAGCACTCATTCAGGTAAGAGCTGACATTTCAAAGAAATATGTTTCGCTTTTTTGTTACTAATAAATGTTGTTGAATCGACTGGTTGTAAAACAATGAACAGTAATAACAACGCTAGCATAAAGTTAGCTCCGCGGCGATTTCTCCACAGCCTTTTGAGCTAATGCCCTTTCGTAACATTTATCATGACTTCATTATCGGTTGATCAATATATTTGACATAATCTTTAACAAAACTACACATAATCAAATAATAATGTGAACTGCGAACTTATTTTCTTCTAATAACCACTTTGGCTTCAACCAGAATGAATAACAAATACTTTATTATCTTTCCTTGTCAATTAAAATGCACACTTTTATCAGACAGTTTAACTCCAGGTCTGGCCGAATTAAAAATAAGCCCTTTTAATGACTTTTTTGAGCCATATAATTAAATTAAAAGTATGTGGAAGGGGGAATGGTATTACTCCGACGCAGAATACAAATCTCAAATAAATCGTGGTGGTGTTAGTACAATTTAAGATTTACTTAGAAAACTTGATTTCTTCATTTCTAATATATGAAAATATCTCTTCATTCTGCAGTTATTCTTTACTACTGTACATTTCTGTCCCTTCATGTTTTGTAATTGTAACTGAGGGATTTTATATTTTTATCTTTCTTTTTAATGTTCTGTGATTATTTATGATTTTAACTTTTCTTATTTTGTTCAGTACTTTGAATTGCTTTGTGTATGAATTGTGCTATATAAATAAAATTGCCTTGCCTTGTAATAATCTCTACATTTCTGTGTCGTCTGCTGTAGGACATCAGAGACTGCCCAGGGCCACACTCTGCCCTCTTAAACTTCAACTCTCAGGTCAAAGAGAAGTTCAACAAACTCCGGCTCAGAATACAGGTCAGATTTAGTCTTTCACATGTTGAGTTAACATTACATTGGGAACAAAGGAGAAAAGTGTAGAGCCGCGTTCCAGGTTGAAATGTGTCGATGTGAGTAACTTTTTCTTCTTTGTAGGACCTAGAGCAGATGGCAAAGGAGCAGGACAGAGAGTCGGACCGAGTGGAGATCCAGACCGAGACGGAGAGTCAAAGAAGACAAATGCTCAGGTTTGAAAATGGATCCTTTATTATTGGAACTTTACAGTGGCTGAGCTGCTCCCGGACTAAAAACAAGAGGTGGCAACAAACTATTCAATTATTACAGTGCCTCTCAAAAGTGTTATTACAGCTAGAACTTTATAGGATATTTTACAACCATCAACACAAATATCTTTTTATGGATTATTTTTACTGAAACTCTTGGTTTTCTTATTTTGTTTCACTTCACATTGTTTATGTATATGGTTGTAAACATACAAAAATGTGTTCAAGTTCAAGCTGTGTTGATACTTTTGAGAGGCTCTGTATACTGTCTGTGTCTGACCCAAACTGCATCCCAGGACAACAGAGTTAATGCAAAGAAAATTATTTCTCCAAACAAACACTAAACACTGCACGTTTAGATATAGTTGTAACCTGCATCATTTCAGAAGAGAGCATTGCATGTTTTCAAAAGTAGATATCTGGGTCAAGTTACAGAATAGAGAAGTGTGTGTTAAAATTAAAATCTTAAAGCTGAAGTATGTCAAACTTCCTTTTTGTTTCATAAATACATGTTGTTTGTCCCAACAAAAAATCTTGTTTAAGCAACATTTTGTGCTGTCTTCATCTTACAATGTTTTTATATTTGACAAACTGAGAGCTGACGGATGGAAGGTGGTTCTCTCTTTTTCTCTTTTCCATCTGAAAAAGGTGGTCCAAAGATGTGACAGAGGCTAACGATACATGTGGAAAATGGTGACATAGATTTTAATACAGACTTATTTTAGTGTGGTTTCAAGACGACTTATTTTGAAACCACCATAAAGGAGTGCATGTGTTTGTTTTCTGTCTTACAAGCCAAAAGTTTTGCCTCTAAATTAGCTTTGGGAATTTCTTAGGTCAAACGCTATCTGCAGACAATACGTTTTATTTACAGTTCATCTGACTCAGCAACATTAAATACAAAGCCCCTGTCATGTAAACAAATATGTTTTATTTATTTTGATGCAGTAACCAGACGGCCTGGAGGAAGGCGAACCTGGCCTGTAAACTAGCCATCGACAACATGGAGAAGAACGAGCTGCTGCACAAGGGAGAGGCCAACAGCCTCAGACAGAGGTGAGAGCAGACAGCATGTGCCAGATCCCGTCAGACCTCGGAAGCTAAGCAGGGCAGGGCCTGGTTAGTACTGTGATGGGAGACCTCTGGGCTATAAAGTGCCAATCTGCTGTTGTCCTTAGGCAAGGCACTTCACCCACATTGCCTATAATGAGTCTGGTGTGTGTGGTTTGGAGGGGCTGATGGCACATACTGGTTGCCTCAGTTCTGTCAGCGTGCCCCAGGGCAGCTGTGGCGACAGTAGTCTCTTATACCCAACGTCTACGGAGTGAATGAATCACAATGACATGTGAAGCGTCTTTGAGTGTCCATAAAAGTTCAATATGAAACCAATGTTTTTTTTTTTTAATAATACTTTGACAAGGCACTGTATGTCTTGATGGCAGGGATTGGCATTGCAGTAGATGGAAAGTTGGTTGGAGACTATAGAACAGTAGAGAGGTGGTTGTTAAGCAGTCACACAGTTCTCCACAGGAACATAGATCAACAACAACAGCTCAGGAGAGGCAAGATCATAGACTCTAAAGGCAAGACGGAGCAGGTGCCATGAGGCTATAATTACAGGTTTGGGGGCGGAACAAGATGCAATTTTATTTTAGTGCATTGTTATTGTAAGTAAGTAATCTTAATTTATATAGGCACTTATTTTGCTGAGTGCTCCACATTCCTTCTGTCCTGTAACTGGCGATGCAACACTGACATTTCCCCAACTGTAGAACAAATATAGGATCTCTTCATCGTAAATCACTAAACTGAAATCTTGTTGTTTAGAAAAGTGACAAAGGAGAGTCTGGTGGAGAGCAGCAGTGACATCACAGAGAGCCTCATGTCCATCAGTCGAATGATGGCGGAGCAGGTGAAGCAGAGCGAGGACGCCATCGGCACGCTGGGTACACACACCTCCATTTACTGCATTTATTAGTTCTTTTTCACACTTTTTACTTTGCATTTTGTGACTTTCAACCAGAGATTTTGAGGAATACTGCTGTGACATGGCTGAAAATAACAGTATCAAAATCAGTCACACAATCCAAAATAGTTGAAAAATAATAGTTTATATTGCAACAAATGAATCTCAAGTTACTAGATAGAGAAGACTAGTATTATTAAAAGCTTTTTCATTAATTTAGATAAAATTAAGACCATAGTTCTGGTCTGAATTATTGTTTGTATTATATTTGTATTTATTTGTTCCTTTCATTATTTTGGTTTGTTTCAGACTTACTGGAAAATAATGTGTATGTGTTTGTTTGTTTTCTGCCTTACAAGCCAAAAGTATAAGCCAAAAGTTTCACCTCTAAATTAATTTTGGGAATTTCTCAGGTCAAATGCTGCTTTAGACTGTGCATTCTCCAGCTGTGCCATGTTTTTATGTGTGGAGCAGAACTAGAGTTGAATGAATGTCATTTCTCACTTCTGTCACTAGATGGCAGTGCTGACACATTCTATGTATCTGTTGCCTCATTAGTCATGTTTATTCCCAAGATCATGTGTAAAGTCCAAAATGAACACAACCAATGCATCATATTTGTTTTCTAAAATTTCCATGAGGATTTAAATGTTTTTGCACTGGAGTCTCATTGTATATTCTCTAGTTATGTTATCTCCAATAGATAGATACATAGAGACATACTGTAGATACTTTATTGATCCCTGTTGAAGAAATGCAGGTGCCCATACAAACAAACAAACAAATGCATGATTCTAAAAGTTATGAACAATAGTGATAAAGTGCTATACCCTACACATATATAATCAGTTGTTTTGTTTTTCCCTCTCTAGCCACTTCCTCTCGCACGGTGGTGGAGACAAACGAGGAGTTCAAAAACATGACGGGGACAATCCACTTTGGCAGAAAACTCATCCTCAAATACAACCGCAGGGAGCTCACCGACAAGCTGCTCATCTTCCTGGCTCTGGCCCTGTTCCTCGCTACGGTTTTATACATCCTGAAAAAACGTCTGTTCCCATTTATTTAGCAAAAAGGGCTCGCTACATGTTACTTCCAAGAGGTCAGGAGTGGAGGAGGCACAACCAGCCAGCAGGTTACAGAGATTTATTAAAGAAAAGCCAGCGTCGAGGTAATATTCCTTTCTAAAAATGTGAACAAATATGTCTTATGTGTAGTTTGTAGTCTTGCACTGCTGTTCCACGGTTTGGGGACACTCTGACTACTGTCCGTCAAATCCTTCTGTTTGATTCATATGAACAAAATATACAGGAGGAACTCAAAGAATTAGAATATGGTTCAAAAGTTAATTTTTTACGTCTGTGATTCAACTAATATGACTCTTTACACAGAGAGTGAGATATATCAAGCCTTTATAATTTGTTGTAAGGACAATTATGACTTGCATCTGTAAAAACATCAGAAAACCTCACATTTCAAAAATGAACTGTAATCTATAATCATCAAAATTATTACAAACAATGTAACGACGAGATCGAGGACCAAACGGAAAACATTTGAGATGCTTCCCATGAGCCATTGCAACACCGGAGTGATGGTGGCATGCAAAATGTTTCTCTACCCCCATGAATCACCTGTTACCAGCTAGAATCACTGTCCACCACATGAAAAAGTCTTGAGTGTGCTTCGGGTTGATCCCTTCCTCATCAAATCAACAGCACTTTTTTATTTCAACTTGTAAGTGACCCCAAACCTTTGTCGAACAGAAGTGTGAGTATGTCTTTAAGGTTCTATCCTTGTGTGTACTGTTACTGTGGGTCGTCTCCAGTTTTCACCCAAGTCCGAAGACATGTTTTAGTGTCGTATATATGCAAAAGAATCGGCTCAGGAGCATAAATGAAAGGGTGAATACTGTTGCAGCCGATGAGCAAGTATGTTGTCGATTATACAGGCCAAGTATCGTCTCTGCGTTCACTTAATGTATCCAGGTCTAGTCATTTCTATCTGTCTGTAATGTTTTGTATGTTGTCTTACGTAGCTCCTCCTCTGTGTGTCTTATTAATGTTATTGTTTACAGCAGCACTGCCAGACTGTCAGAATGTACACCTTACTGTGCAAAAGCATGAGGAGTTTTACAAGCTTTGTATACAATATGGCCCAGGGGTCTCCAACCTGTGGTTCGGGATCGCCCCCCCTTTCAGGTAGCTCCCCAAAGGATTAAAGAAGTTAACACATGAAACTGAATGATTCGATTCGATTTTTGAGTCTATTTTTAGTATAAATCTTGTCATGAATGCAGGGATACAGTACAGTATAATGGTAAGTTATGCCATTGGCTGTATTTATCATATAGACTATAATTGTATTAAGACTGCTAAAAGAAGTAGCTCTCTCGCTGCCATTTCTGTTTCTTAAAAGTAGCTCTCCAATCAAAAAGGTTGGAGACCCTTCCACTAGCCTTTATTTACATGGGGATAGCTTCTCATAGACTTTCTCATCATTGAACTGATAAAAAATAGCTTTTTCTTCCCTATTTTTTATTAATATAAATAAAAGCTAGCATAGATTTACAAGCAATGGCTCAACCACTTCTTCAGTTTTAAAGTCTCCTGAAATTGATTTAAGCTGTGTTTTCAGAAACTACTTTTCTTGGTGTTTTGGTGATGGTGGGCATTAGTTAGTGATGTGATCTTCTGCATAGATACGGACGGATAAACAAAGGTTCCTGACAACCGCTATTTCCCTATTAGCCTGAACACGGCCTGGAGCAACAGAAGGCAACGCTATTTACACCTGGAACAAATCCAACTGGCATTCAAGCATGTATGGGCTATAATTAGCTTAGTTTAGTCAATAGTGGATGTCAAGAACATTTATTATTCTTTCCGTTACTATAGAAATGATCACGTTGGGAATAGGCATGTATCAAACAGCAACACTTTGGGGTTTTTCTCTCCCAGTGCAGGTTTTTCTTTTACTTACCAAAACTCCTGGTGGTTTTTTTTAACCCAAAATCTTACATGTGACAAATGAAACGCTATCTTATCTATCTAGCTCTACCTTTAACTCTGCAGCCCTCATTCTAAACTCACCTCTTACTTTTGCACAGTTAAGCAAAATAACTACACAGCGACTATGGCATTAATAATGTTTATTGAATCAAAAAACAAACTTTTAAACGTGTGTTTTTTTTTCTTTTTTACATACATTTAAATAAACTCTTTTAAAATCTGACGCATTTCCCAGGGTTTGTGTGAGTTGGTTTCAGACTGTCCACAAGAGGGCGCGCTTTCATTCCAATTTGATGCTTTGACCGTTTATTGCTGTTGGTTTAATGTTGTTAAATTCTCAATTCGTTAATTGTGTAGCTATGAGGCTAAGGTATCGGCTCCCTGCGCATTCATATAGACATTTATATGGCTTTCTCTGGAATATTCCACAGAAAAACTTTAAACTAGAGATAGAACCATATGACGTGGTGTTAAAATGCTCCTATATTTCACTGTGGGACGAAAATTACAAATTGGCCCCAAAAGATCTCTTCAAATTACATTATAGCTCTAAATGTTGAGGTCAAATTTAGCACCAAAAGAATAGTCTTTCCAATTGATTAATAATATTGCCATAACTTTAAGAATACTATACCCCAATTCATGTTGGAACCCTCTATAAAGTTTGAGGGTGCTTGGGGTCCTTGGAAAGTGTAATCTATTCTAAATTACAATTTGAAGGTCTTCTCTAACACTAAGAAATTGTGATTTTACTATATACAGTAAAAGTGGTATATTTAGAATTTGATCCAAGTATGCTTTCTGTATTTTACTATTTTACTTCCCAAACTCATTTTTTGTGTGTGTAAAACTTAGAACACGGTATACATATACGGCCATGTTTTAAGCCTGCAAAATTATATCATTAGATTAGCTGGACAGTCATAGAGGACAAATGAGATATATGTATGTTAGTAAGCTTTTTTTTTTGTTAAGCACGGTAAAAAAAAAATGTAACATTTCATACCAGTCCATCTGTCTTTCCTCTGTCCAATTAATGACGCATCACTTATATACATACATATTTTGTGGTTCAGTATCTATAGCTACTCAAATTTAGATAATTTTTCACAAGTAAGTATAATCAGGATACTTCTACATGTAGAAATTGTCTAGTAACAATAATAATATCATATAAATAATAATAAACAATGGGTTTTAAGCATCCACACAGCCCACATATTTATCAGTGTCTTTCCCTACTAGTGTAACATGTGTTTCTATGTCAGTCTATCTCAGAGCGAATCCGTCTCTACGTAAGTTTGATGCAGTATAAGTAGCTTTCATATTATGTCTACGGAGAAAGACTGAACAATGCATAACAAACAGAGCAAAAAAATAAAATGAATAAATAATTTAAATAGGTAGGAGACTGTTGTTGAGTTGTCAGCTGCGTCTTTTGCTGGAAGTTAAAGTCCATGTTGAGTCCACGCCCATCTTTAACTGCAGCGTTCTTTCAAGAGGCCTCTGCGATGATGAGGTAGATGCATATTTTAAACTTTCGTACAAATGTTAAGATTAAACAAGTTATCTTCCTCAAGTTACACTGCAAAAAGTGATGAAAAACAAGATAAAATTTGCTTAAACTTGGACGAAATGTATCTTAATTAAGCACATTTTGACTGCCTTAAAACAAGATTTGCCGACGGGACAAAGCAAAATGATCTTGTTTTTAAAAATATGCAAAAAATGTCTCTCTTGGAATGAGAAAATAAAGCAACAGTTCTTGAAATAAGTCTAAATGGCTTTGTCCCATTGGCAAATCTATGTTTAACAGTCAGAATGTGCTCAAATTAAGATGAAAAACTACTCAATTCAAGCAATTTTTATCTAATTTTTCCTCATTTTTGCAGTGTATATTTGTCTACAGTAATAAGGGCACCAGTGTCTGTCCTGTGAGTGTCTAAGAGAGAGTAGCGTTCATTTGCACAGACGTGGCCTCTGTTGTGGCCTCTGTTTGGTTGTCCGTGGCTGAGGCAGTGTTCCGGGGGTGTGGCGGAGCCCGGGTTTGGGACAGGGCTCTGCTGACGGTGGGGGCCGATGTGGAGGTGTTGTTGGTGCCCGATTGGAAACAGGAGCTGCTGAAACTGTCGCACAGCTGCCCCCAGTGTTGCGTGCACTGCGTCCGGAGGCGGCGGCCGACCCACAAGCGCGCCTCCTCTCCGCAGGACAGCAGGAAGTTCATCAGCTCCACGTATGGCCTGGAACGGAGGCAAAGGTGAGTTACCACGGCGTACGCGACTAGTGTGGTAATCGGAGATGGGAGCAGTAACTATGAGTTCAGGTGTGGGCAATAGTTTTCCCCCAGGAGCCAAATTGGGATGTTGGTATTTTGTAAAGGGCCACTGAGGAACTGAAATCTACCTCTTTCGGGGCATCTCTATCACTATCAACTACATCAAACTGCATTGCAACAATTTGACCATTTGGTAAAGGCCTATAGTTTAAAAACGTATTATTTAGCCCCCAGGCCGCAGTTTGTCCATCATAACTTTCGAGAGGTGGAAGGATGCTACTTTTCCCACAGTTTCACATTGGATCAAAGGCGTGTTATTTAATCTTGAAGGTAAACGGGAGGATTTTCTACTTCCGGGTGGATCATCAAGACTCCCATCTGTCAATCATTCTTGTGATACGTGCTCGTCAAACAAGACCAGAGAGTTTTGTTCAGAAAGTGGAGAGGGTGGTTCTTTCCTAAAACTTGGAAAAATCCTCCTATATACATTTTTAAAATTGGAAAAAAATGAAATTGTTAATAGGTTTGGAAGCTGTTTTTGTTTTTGATTAACCTGATCTGTAACCATGCAAGAATAACTTCTATCTATCTCTATCTCGCTATATCCATCCATCCATCTCTATATCTCTCTATATACTGTACATCAATCCATCTCTATATCCATCTCTATCTCTCTATATACATCTATCCATCTCTCTCTATATCATCTCTATATCTCTCTATATCCATCCATCCATCTCTATATCTACTGTATCTATCTGTCTTACTGTATCTATCTGTCTATCTGTCTGTCTGTATCTCTGTCTATCTGTATTTCTGTATATCTATCTATCTATCTGTCTGTAACCACCTGGTGTGTGTTGTGACTGGTGCACTGACCCTGGGGGGAAGAGCAGGTGGAAGTGGACCAGGCTGCCCATGGAGTCCAGATGCTGCTGCAGCGCGAGGCAGAGCTGGTGTTTGGAGAAACACTCGCGCTGAAGAGAGAAGATCATGTCCTTCACCGCCGTGCAGCGCCGACTCACGCAACTGACACGCTGCCGCAGTCCCAGCGCCATGCAGCGGAGGGCGTCCTTCACGTACGACTTCCCCTGAGAGGATCCAGAGACAGGACAGGTCGCTTTACACGTTTACGCCATTTTACACGTTTACGTCATTTTACACGTTTACATCACTTTACACGTTTACGTCACTTTACATGTTTACACGTTTACGTCACTTTACATGTTTACGTCACTTTACACGTTTACATCACTTTACACGTTTACATCACTTTACACGTTTACGCCACTTTACACGTTTACGTCACTTTACATGTTTACGTACCTTTACACGTTTACATCACTTTACACGTTTACGCCACTTTACACGTTTACGTCACTTTACACGTTTACGTCACTTTACACGCTTACGTCACTTTACACGCTTACGTCACTTTACACGTTTACGTCACCTTACATGTTTACGTACCTTTACACGTTTACATCACTTTACATGTTTACGTCACTTTACATGTTTATGTCACTTTACATATTTACGTAAAATACTATTGAGAACTGCTGAGCCTGTGCATGTGCCGTTCATATGTTTAGTTAATTCACTAGACACTGATCACTTTCCCTCCTTTCATCATATTTCAGAATCAGAATGCTTTTTATTGCTATTGTAAGTACCAGGAAGTCACAAACTAGGAGGTTGCTTTAGCTCAAGGTGCAAAACTAGTTATAAGAGTAAAAATAGACTCAAGACCTAAATGGTGGTTTGCATCAGTTATCAGTGTGTATAGGAGGATTCTGGGAGCTGGATTGTACGTGTAGTGACTATTAGACTATGACTGCATTTTACTTACAGTCCATTTAACCCGTTGCTTTTTTGTTTTGTCTTTGGACTAAAATCGTAGCATTAACACAAGCTGTAAAGTGAATTACTTCTTTCTACAGACGATTGCTACAAACCTGCAAGGACACGTTTCATATTTTTTCTTTGTCTTCACAGCCATAAAAACATCCACAACATTTACTTTTACTTTCGTCGCTCTGTTTGGCTAAAGACAATGACATTTCCCCACGGAGAAACGTATAGTATCAAGTCAAATCTTATCTTACATCACTGCAAAAAAGATCAAATTTGGGGTAATAACTGCTTGAATCGAGTGGTTTGAGTGGATTCTAGTGGGTTTGAGGGCAGCACAGTGGCCGAGTGGATAGCACTCTTGCTTCTCTGCAAGACGGTCCTGGGTTCCAATCCCGGTCGAAACAGGGCCTTTCTGAGTGGAGTTTGCATGTTCTCCCCGCGTCTGAGTAGGTTTCCTCTGGGTGCTCCAGTTTTCCCTACCACTAGAAACTTGTACAATAAGTCTGGCATGCGCCTCCTGTACTGGTGACCCCGCTCCCATCTCTGTGTGGAGTGAGAGACAAATGCCTAGAATTGTTAAGCGCTTTATGACTCTTATTTCAAGAATTTTTTTCTTTTTTCTCATTCCCAGGGAGGCATTTTCTTGTATATTTTTAAAACAAGATAATTTTGCTTTGTCTCATTGGCAAGTCCTGTTTTGAGGCCGTCACAATGTGCTCAAATTAAGAGACATTTTGCCAAATTTGAGCAATCTTGTTTTTCCTCACTTTTTTGCATTTTATCACTAACTGTTTGATTTTCTGATCTGTGTTGGCGAATCGACAGCTTGTAAACTCCTAGATACAGTAACTCCTGTAGTGATTTAAGGCTATTCAAAAACAAATTGAATTGAATCTTATATTAAGTTACCAGCGGGGCTTTAACCTGTGAAAGATATTTTTATTTCTACTTAGCCACTGTCAGCAGCGCCGCCTAAGCATAAAACTAATGGCCATAAATCAAATATTAGCACTTTGTTTGCAGTGTCAGACCTGCGCTTCTCTCCAGGTCTATTCTGGTATAAGACAGTCTGCTCCTATCTGGTTTCAGCCTTCCCTGAGCCAGCCACAAACCAACACACAAACCAACCGGACCCTCTCAACATTCTCCACTAACAAGTCTTTTGTCACAAGGAGCGCCGACAAATGCCATCATTGTCACACACAACACACAGGCCTTAAAACTGGTTTGGAATTTTAACTTTGTGCTTTTTGGGATTTTCAACGCATTTATTTTACCCTCTCCAGCTGGGATCAATAAACTGTCAGTCTATGTATCTATATCTATCTATCTATCTATCTCTCTCTATCCATCTCTCTATCTATACCTGTTTCTATCTATCTCTATCCATCACTCTATCTATCTATCTATCTATCTATCTCTCTATCTCTCTATCTTTATCTATCCATCTCTCTCTATCTTTCTAGAATAGATTAGAGTAGATTTAATTAGATTCAACTTAATTTCTCTCTCACTCTATCTCTCTATCTGCAGCAGGTGGATTGCATCAGTCAGTATATGTTTGTGTTGGTGAGTGTGCACTGAGAGACAATCCTGTTTGAAATTCTGACTTTGTGATTTGTGTTGAGAACAAAGCAGTCACCTGAGGGTCGTAGCGTCCCGCGTTGTGCAGCAGCGTCAGACAAATGTGATGCAGTCCCTGAATCTCACACGAGTTGTTGTTGAAACACTGAAAAGTCCCACAGCCGACGTCCCCTGAACTCACCAGACAGGCCTGAATCTCTGCTGCACACACAAGGAAATAAAAGTCTTGTTTTTTTCATGTGTACATCCATTATGAAAAGCTGAACATGACTTGTACTATATACAAGAAGAACATGTGATACAAGCAAAGACACCAAAAGAAACTGAACTGTACAAACGATGGAGAAAGAAAAACTGACTGAACCATGAGAGAACTTCAGCGCTGTCCAGACTGAGAAGAAGAGAAAATCATATTATTATTAATGTGGAGACCCAACGTAATCGTTAAATTAGACATACCAAAGACAGCGCATTTAGACACACTGTGATCATCACTGATGCTGTGACGTCATTCTGAGTCTTTGTTTAAGTGTAAACGTCCTGAGGCCAAACTCATTAGGGCCTGGGCGGCGGTGAATACGCACTTGTCTCCGGGGGCTGCCTCCTGTGCCTCCTCTCTTCCTGTGCCTTGGTGGTCTCCGTCGTGTCCGGTCCTGGGGATGTGGAGCGGTGCCCGAGGCGGGGGTCAGCCCTGGGCCGGAGGTGTCGTCACACGCTCCCGCTGCTGAGGGGCGCGAGCGGAATGTGGAGCAGATCCTTGAATTACAAACAGAGCGCGGCCCGGAGGGAACCCGCACGAGCGCGCAGCTGAACAGGCTCTGGTTTGGATAAAAGGCCTGCGCAGCAGACTGAGGCATGCTGGGAAACATTATATTTACGATGAAGTGATCAGCCAATGTAAACGAGCTCCAAATACAAGCAGAAGTGACGGGACATCACAGCGCGCGCTGCGCACGTCACCAGCCGGATTAGCGCCAATTATTGCAGTCAATTAAGGCCACTTCTGAGGTCAAAGTGCGCACTCGTGGTTTAATAAACTTAAGAGTTTATCACTAATGAATCTTAGTCTTTGCTCGTCTGCTCCAGTCGCTTCCACTTCTTCTCCGTTCTGTGCGTTTGTCAGCACGTTTGGACACGCTTCTCATGACGCAAGTGTAAATTGTGACATTACATCAGGCTTCAGTCAAACGAGAACAATTGAAGCACATCTCACAAAAACATCTGCGGTCTACGTGTAAGTTTCACCAAGTTCTGATCAATTCTTTGCTTGTTGTTTATGTGCGTGAGTGTGGCGCGTGTGCGGCTCACCTGTGCTCTGCAGAGTCAGTCTTCTTTTCACCTGAGACATTTGCTTTTCCTGGAAGTCGAGAGAGTCTGTGCTCAGCGCCTGATGAGCAGCCAAAGCCACAAAAAACACCCAAATCACTTTCGTCCCGTGCGCTGACATGATAGGTCCGTGTCGTTCTGTTCCTCAATTTCACAGCCAAAGCGCAGCTCCAGGAAGAGTGTTGACTTGCAGGAGATCTTAGGATTTGAGCTGTAATATATAAGGGTGCGAGATACGCGCGCCTCTGAGTGATGGGGCCTGGTGTTTGGACCAATCACAGCACAGACACGTGGACGCGCGCTGGGACAGGGACAGTTTATCATTGATGAGAAAAAGAGGCTCTCATAGTGTGCATATGTTGTAATGTGCAGGGTTTAAGAGGGGCTTTGGAGACGGTCAGACCAATGGAGTCGTGCGTAACGCGCATGGCACAACCGCACATTACGCACAGTGACAGAGCACTACGATGTGTGAAAACAGGTGAAATGTTGCAGCTGAACGTGTTCAGTTGAAGGTAACCAAGTGTTCCACTGGAGCTGCAGCCTCAGAACACATGGAGGGTAATGTTATAATAATGTTATTCTAGACTCCCGTAGACTCATAACCGCTGCACATTTCACTCTGTCTCCACTCAATTACTGCGCGCCTGCTGCGGTCGCAGCAGCTGCCCTGGCGCAAGGACGTGCTGCGAGGAACGTACGCGCACGCGACGCACTTTGGAGAAAGGTTTTATTGTTCCAGTGAATCTGACACACGAGCCGCAGTTTACACACAGCAGACTCCTGTTACACGAGCAGAGAAGATGATATTCAGTCTGTGGCAGCAGCTCCTGCAGAGATCTGCGAGACACGGATCTGACTCAGGACTGGGGACTGATGGTGACTGAAGTTACTAAAATAAAGTCCTTTTAAAGTATCCAAGTAGTTTTAGTAGTTTGACTCTGAGGAGCAGCCTCCTGCTGGTGCCAGAGTCTGAACATGGGGAGGCCACATTTCCAATATATGCAACTAAAATCTGGAACAGTCTTCCTGAAAATGTGAAACAAGCTTCTATTCTGACAATGTACAAATCCAGATTAAACAGTTTAGCTGCATATATGACGACATACAAGTGAAGGATCAGGCTCAGAGGTAAATCCACTGCTCTGGCGTCTGCAGAGAGAGAAACATGTATTACTGCATTTACACAACAGAAAGAACCACTTAAGTACTTATCTGCAGCTACATGTCAGAGAGCAAACATTGTTCAACTCTATTCCTTTAGAATAATAATGCATGGAAAATATATTTGTTTACAAAGATGACAGATTGTTTTTATGTGACATCACAACATTTCCAAAGAGGTAACTTAAAAGTTAAGAGTTTATATATGTCATTCTTGGGCCAATTGACATGAAACAAAGACCTCGACATCTTTGTGTAAACTGTAGGAGGAACTTGGAAAATTAGAGCATTGTTCAAAAGATAATTTATTTCTGTATTTCAACTTAAAATATGAATCTAGAATAATAAGGCACATATGTCAAGCCATGTTATAATGTTGATAATTATTGCTTAGAGTCTACAAGCGGCAAGCCAATTATCAACATTATAACAAAGTAAATGGATTTTCTAATTTCCCGATTTTCTCTGTAGCTCCAATTATTTTCTACAGGTTTCTGAAAGTGGTGATGATAATTCAATAAGCAAATGCATGATGCTGTCCAGTAGAATGGAGAATACATGAAAAACCTATCGGCTCTGGGAATCTGTAAATCTAAACATTTTCAAATAATAATCTGGGAAACCATTTAGACATTTCTCTCTAAAACATGTTTTTCCCGATAGATTTGCACCTGCCCTCCAACTGAAATAGAAGTAGACCTCTCAGAAATCATCTATGAAACTACTGCCAACAATAACAATAAGGGCAACATGAGAAAGCTGTTCAACCTCTGAAGCTAAGCAGGGCAGGGCCTGGTTAATGCTGTGATGGGAGACCTCTGGGAACTCCAGCTGCCACACCAGACACATGCTAAAACCACCAACATATAGTATACTGTGTGTGTGTGTTTGTGTGTAGGGACTGATGGCACACACTGGTTGCCTCGCTTATGTCAGTGTGCCCCGGGGCAGCTGCGGCTACAGTATCAGTCAATCACCAACGTGTATTGACAGAACAACGCCATATGAAGCATCTTTGAGTGTCCAAAAAAAAATATCGCTAAGTAAACTACAAGCATCATTATTATCATTCTCCATCTTGTGTTGCGACCAGAGTAAGACCGACCTCCGCGGGGGGCCATCGCTCGCCTGGAATGTTTATTGAACTTTTCCCGCTCATTTCCCCAGCAAGTTGTTGTCATCCCGGCCTCAAAACAACACTGACCACCCACCCATAACCTTTCACCGGCTCACACACACGCTCACATGCTCCCATACATCAACACAACCCGCCCGCCTCCCATTGGACAACCAGCCCCCACATGACCACCGAGGTAAACAGCCCGGTCTGGGACGAACAGAGAAATGGACATTGAGTTTAAATAGAAAAAAAAAACCCCTCTTCAACATATTTCAAAACTAAATGAATCTGTATAGGCAATATACTCATATCTCAAATCACTCAGAAACAATAAAAAAACATGGCACTTTCTTGAAACATTTTCCATTTAAATCCACCCTGTTTTTTGTTATTGTTGCTGTTGTACTGTGTTTATTGTAGAAGTGTTGCTTTTTTTCATGACCTCCCAACACACACAAACAAACATACACACACACACACACACACACACATATATACTTGTTTTATGTCATTATGTTATCCTTCTGTGGTACATTTTTACGTCTACTTAAGTTTGGTTTATATATTGAAAGATCTGCATAATTTTATTAAATTGAAAAAAGAAAAATGGTATTTGAGTTAACCTGTTTTCCTGCATCAGTTTATGTAGTTTTGGTTATAGACTTCTAAAAATATTGACTTCTGGGGATGGATTTGTATCAAGAACTGTCTCTTCAAATCATTTACTATGATACAATACTGGGATGTAAATGTATAAAACATCTAAAATATGTTCTTGGAGACATAGTCATGTGTTTTTATTCTGTTAAGCATGTGTAATATAAGTTAAACATATTAAGTGTTGGTACTTTAGCAAGATATTTGTACTGTTAATGAAGTGATTGTTGAACTTTGCAGGACTTTCTTTTTCGATAGATATGAAAAAAAGAAAACAGGGAAAACAAGCCTACAGCATACATTTACTATTGCACATGGTTGGGTCTCATAGCACCAGTCCCTATGTCATTTTTATTTTACCTAATAAAATCAATCTATAGAAATGTGTGAAGATCTCCATTGTGTTTGCAGTCAGAATTGTTGTGTTCTTACTATTGAATTCAATAAATTTTTATCCCCAAAGATAGACAGCAAAACCTTACAATATTCAGTATAATTAAATATAGGCATTAGTTTAAGATTCCTTGTCAAAATTCCCATTTCTAAACTATTCTGTCTCATGTTTGATTGCATAGAAATGTCCTGATTCTACCCATTTAAGAATCTGTAATAATCATTATAATCATTTCACTTGTTCCTTGTGTTTCGATTTGTTGTTATATTTTAGTTTTCTCAATAAATATTTAAGGACAATGACAATCAAGACAGGCAAATACACAGAGACATAAGCAAAACGAAAGCGCAAAGCAAGGACAATCCAAAAAAGACAAATAAGAGATAGAATAAAAACAAAACAAAGGATTTTTTCGGTTTGTCTTCTGAAGTTTCTAGTGTGAATCGTGAGCTGAGCTGGGGTCTCTGCTGCAGCGGACTGGGAAAAACATATTTGCGTTATCACGGTCTGCCCTCCTTCAAAACAAGACCCCAATCAATCGAAAGTTACACAATCGGTCTCAGGAGCAACACTTTGAAGACTCGCACAAACACAGATAACATTTCCACTTTGATAAAAAGCAAAACAAAAGCAAAACATTTCCACTTTGGAGATTTCAACCAATTAGGAAGTGCAGCTGTTTCTGTATCGTGAATATAAGGGTTGAGGATTTAGTCAATATTCATGGAGACAGCACATACTTTTAAAGCTCGGGTACCTAATTTTCATGTAGTTCTAAAAAGTTATTGAAATTTGGCAAACTTAAAAAACGTAAGTGCAAACCATAATGATTATGATGCTTAAGTCAGAGATTTTGTTCTAAATTCTTGCTTCTTCATCATGCAAAAGTTAGAGATTTTATACTTATTTTATTTTGCTTTGTTATTTTTTATATTGATTCATGTATGTATTCACACACGGTTTTTCCTATTTGATTTTTAATGATTTTACTGTTTTACTATGGATTTTTATTAGTATTTTATTGCGCTTATGAAATGTGCTATATAATTAAAGTGGATTGGATTACTTCTTTATTATGCTAAAACCAGAGATTTCTTTCCGCAGGTCACAAACTGATGCATAGGACACAAGTTACTCAAATCTGTAAACTCAAAAGTATTTTATTATTATGAAACTGAGAAAAAACATTCACAAATATTTACAACTTACAACAAATTTACAGTCCAGAATCAAACATGCAGTACGAGGTCAATACGGAGCTGGGACACAGAGCAGGACCAGAAACAGAAATCCAGTTGAATATTCTGTGTTTTGGGATAAAGTCCTTGCGTCCATCAAAAATCAACCGTTTCCAAACTAGTCGGATGTTGTGATGGTTTTAACGGGCGTAACTGGAAGCATTATTTCCCAGACGTCTTCAAGGACCCGGATGTTCCTCCTCCACAGCTTGAGGTTTTTAAATGGCACCTACAAAAGAGAGATGATGAAGGTTGTGACACGACGATGTCTCTAAGATCTAAAATATGCAATTACACAATACTTTCTTTGTTGGGAATCTAAGTTGTCTTTGCCTAAACTGTGAATCCAAGACTAATTGTACTGGCATTTCTCCAAAGCAAGAGGTAAATAGTACTGTTGAAGAATAGATTTTCAGATGGAATTTTTAAAGTCTACATATTTGTACCCAGGCCACCATTATAACATTACTGATATTTCATCACAGTCAATTTTACAGAGCTCACTGTCAAAGCAAACACAAATCCCTAACCTGAGCCAGTGAGCACTAATGGGTCAACTAGGGCTGGACAATTATGGTAAGCATAATATTGACTGATTAATTTACTAGTCAACCACAAATTACCAAGATTTCTATGGTAAAGAAGCAACAATCATTGGCCATGGAGAAAATTAGCTGAACATTTTGGCATTTACTTTGAAATTCTGGGCCAGATCAAGCTCTCCATTCAATACGTTATTGATAGTATTTTCTGTGTGATCTGAGGAGAAGCGATTTAAGCTAAGGTCAGACAGAAAACACATAGATACATAGCTTTTTAGAGCTTTTCCCAAACACGTTTTTATAGTCAACAGCCGTAAACGATCAACTGGGCTGCGTTTAATCAGCCAATAATTCCTTTTGGTCTATTACAGCCCTATACATTTCCATGAATTACACTACAGTTGCCAGAAACATTTAACAAATCAAGAAAACCTCATGGGGTGTGTGGTCCAGAGACAGCGGCTGGGGCTGGGGCAGGATCTCCGAATTCGCCCTGTTCCGGAGGGGGGGCTGCACTTGAAGCGACCGGACCGTCCTCACTCTTTTCTCCGGACAGAAACTCATGGATGGCCTTTTCTATCTGAGGCCTGAAAGTGTGGTTCATTTTAGGATCTACCACCTGAGTTATGATTCGGTCCACACCAGACTCCAACATTCCCGATCTGAAAACACAGCTCACATTAGCCCCAACAGATCTAATGGCATCACAAGTAAACAAAGATGGTGGGAATTGTTGTACACTTTAAATACTGGTGAATTTATGCATTTGTTGTTGCAGAATATTATCTTGTTATCATTCCATATAACACTGCCTTAAACTTACTGCACCACTTTTTGCCTGAGTCCATTCCTCATCTGGTTTTTGTTGATGGTGGAGGTCCACTCTTGAGTGCCCAGGTCTGTGGTCACAAAGTTATCCACTTTCTGTCGAAGGTTCTGATAGGCCGGCTGTAACCAAATAATGCATACATGAAACATATGTATATATACTATACCATTTAATTACTGTAACCATTCCCTGATGACCATAGACTGCATGTTCGTATTTTATAAAGTCTAAAATTTTGTCCCATGTAGTCGGTGGTCTCTAGTGTTGACATAATGCTGAATCTTATACATGTTATTATTTAATTATTGTCTTCCATCTTTAATAATGCTGACATTCTTATAACTATAGGCCAACTCATGTTCTATAAGTTATGGAAGAAATGAGTGACCATCTTTCTAGCCACAACTCAAGGTAGGCAAGGCAAGACAAGTTTATTTGTATAGCACAATTCATACACAAGGCAACTCAAAGTGCTGAACAAAATAAGAATGCATTAAAATCATAAATAATCACAGTATATTAAAAATAAAGATAAAAATATAAAATCCCTCAGTTGTATGCACAGCTAAACAGAACCGTCTTTAACCTGGTTTTAAACATTGTCAGAGAGGAGGCCTGTCTCACATCTTCAGGAAGACTGTTCCAGATTTTAGCAGCATGAATCTGAAAAGCAGCCTCCCCATGTTTAGTTCTGACTCTGGGCACTAACAGGAGTCCAGTCCCTGTGCTCCTCAGAGTCCGGGCTGGTTCATATGGGACTAACATGTCACTAATATATTGGTATAACATGATGGACTACAGACATAATAATAAACAGAAAGGTGATATTTACCTTGGTGTCAACGTCTGCCAGACAGTCCCGTCGAAACTCGTCAAAAAGCCCTCTATTTTTCAGCTGCTCCACGATCAGCGCAATGAGCTGGGGGTCTCCTGGTGGAAAACTGTTCATACCACCATCATACTGACCTCCCTCCGCCATCACTGTTCAATACGGTCAATTGTATAACATTAATCTCTTGCTTATTTTTGACCAAACAGAACTATCTTGCAGAAATATCTTGTAAGCTAAGGCTAACGTAGCGTAGCCATTTCTATGGGCAAATGGTATACGTTTGATTTATTCACCATTACTATATTGTAACGATGCTATAACAACCAATGGTCGGGACTGTGTGAAACGGTGTACGCTGTAAAACAATCAAGCGCTTTTGATATTTTCCCTACTCCTATTCTGCTCGGCACGCATAGCAAATCTTTCCCAAAAGCCTCAATATGTATATAGACATACATTTATATATTATGTGATTAAGTACAAGAATTTGAGAGAATAACAATCAATGCAGATAAAAAATACTTTCGGTCAGTGAGTTGGGGTAAAAAAGAAGTCTGCATCTAAATTCCTAAGCAACCATCCATCTCCTTATCCTTCCTTGTTTTGCCCAATAGATCCATGGTTTTGCCTTATTTTGTTCACTGATCTTGATAACATTAATGTCATATTCCATTACATTTAAAACGTCTTCAAAGTCCAGTTGAATGAATCTGGAGCTAACTATTTATAAGAAAGAGTAGGGAAGAATAGGAAAGAACAAGGAACGAATTTCTGAATTTGGAGGCAGCCCAGGTTCAAACGCCAAATTCTTACCACGCGTGCGCAGTGGTGTGTTTACTCCGGAAGCACATTAGCACAATATGGGCGCACTGCGTTTGGAGGGGATGATAAAGTTACGAGTTTAACTGTTTACTATGGTAAAAAACACGTGCATATTCACTCAGTAAATATAAGGCAACGCAAAATCACCACTAGATCTGTTGGACGGGCACCCGCAACCAGCAAAGGTAACGATTTAAGGCTGAGCTGCTATTCATTGCTAACAAATTAGCTTTGTTGATAGCTCTCTGCACTGGAGTGCTTTGGGCATATGTCATACTGCCCGTTTGGGTTTAATACGCTTCTTGATAGTATGCATAGTTTTTCAGGACAATTTATCAACAAATGTATATTATTATGTTTCAGAATATATATTTCTTAGACAATGGTCCTCTTTTTTTCATCATTCTGTAATAAATTAATGGAGCCAAAATGTGAACGTCCATGTGGGCCATTGGCATAGTATCTGATAATTCAAAACAAAATATTTTAAGTAAAACAGAAAGCTGAAACAAATCTTTCCTCCACCATACACTCAAAATGACTCAATTAAAAAAAAAAAACATTAATCATTTATATCAACGATCTGAAATCGGAATGTATCTCAGAATACTTTAAATAGATCTTTACATCTTTCACTCTGCTAACTTCAGTCAAAAAGGACAGGAAGCTGATGATGAATGATCAATAATTAATCATAATATCAGATGTTCAAAAACTTCCAAATATGTAATTCTTCTACATGTCTAACATGCAGTTCTTTATTTATCAGTTTTTAGGATTTTCAGTTCTTACAACTCTTTTTTTTAGTCAAAAAACATTTATTGAGCTGTTTAAATTTGTGAATGGTTGTTAAACTACGTCAACAATCTTTGAAGGTATTGTTTCTTGTTTTTTGTATTGTATTGTGTGTCTGCATGGCTGAGAGGGATTGGTTTATTACAAGCCTTTTGCTTCATCCAACCCCTTTTCAAAGGAAAAAATAAACAATCTTCTAGTTAGGATTAATTGCTTCACTTGTTACAGCTCTTTTGTAAAGCGCTTTGTGAGCCTTGTCTGTGAAAAGCACTAAATAAAGATTATTTAACACATTTCTGTTGGGCTGGCTCGCTGGTGATACTATTCTTCCAACATGTCCAGACTTTGATGGTTTGTTTGTGGCAGATGAGCGGGGGACCGGACTCCAACAAGGAGTTCATGGAGCAGTTGCGGATGCAGGAGATGTACAACCAGAGGAGCACGGACGGCTCTGACCCTTTCACCTACACGGACCCAGAGGACGGCACTGTCTACGACTGGGACCACGACAAGAAGGCCTGGTTCCCCAAAGTAAAGCCCTCTTCGCAGGCTATAGTCCTACCTGTCTCTACCTAAACAGAAAAGCTATAGTTATGACAGTCTGAAAGCAAAGTTATTTATTTAGAATTATTTAAGAAATCGTTCTTAAAAAGTGAATTTGATATAAGTGCTTGGATCTCATGCAATGTGGGAGCTTTATGATGAATAGAACTGAGAATATAAGGATCTAAAACTGATCTTGTTCAGTTGGTTTGATTTATTTTTTTATTTTGGTAATTACTTCACCAAAGTTACAGTTCAAACAATATAACAATCAATGGCAATCAGCTTTCTATTTTCAGTGCATAACTAACATACTTTATTTGCTGGCAAAATTACATCACATGCATTTTTATACTAACTTGCATTCATTAAACTCTGTAATCTGTATTGTTTAATTCAGGGAGTTGAAAAAGATCATCATAGATACATAGATAGATAGATAGATACATATAGGTTCATTTAGGTTTTAAAAGGACAGAATCAAGAATAGAAATGACAAGTTTGAACATGAGGTATTAATGTCATAACTCCAGCCCTAACTTTGAGGATCATCCCTCTACAGATCACTGAAGACTTCCTCGCAGCCTACCAGGCCAACTACGGCTTCAACCAAGAAGGAAATCCAGACGCATCAGCAGCAGCGGCGGCGGCGGGCAGCACTGATCCAGCTGCTCAACAACAATCCACCAAACCAGCAGCACAGAAAACTGAGATGACAAAAGCCATGGCCGCGGAGGCAGCGGAGGCCCAGGATGCAAAGCAGAACGCAGAAAAGAGGAAAGCAGAGCAAGGTAGTACTGACAGCTCCAAATCATTCTCGTAACTTCTCAACTTAAAGCTCAGGTACCTAACTTCAAAACACACTAAAAATAGACTTTGTAATAAAATCCATCTCACTATTTTCTCGCTCTCAAAACAGTTATGTTCTATCACTAGTTTTCCCCAGTGGGGCCGGGTCCCGGCTCAAAAGTGGCCAAAATGACGTGCGCTGACATGCTTGTAATACCACCCCGGGCCGATGGGGGTGGACCCGGAATAAGTATTAGCTTAAGTATAGCATTGGCAGACCTCTCAATGAAGTCTTTACAGGATGGTCCAAAAGTTGGCTCTTGGCCCAACATGTGTGTCAATGCTGAGGGGAGTGAAAAGTCTTTCGTTCAAATGAATGGAGCTTGCGCTGGTTGATGCATGCGCAGATGCGTTTTTTCACAATTTTCTTGTGGGCGGGACCACTCGCAGCCATTTTGAATAGCTCCAGTAGAGCATTATTTTTGGCCCATTAGTTAGAACGGCGGAGATAGGCGTGACTCTGTCCATTAATTTTTACAGTCTATGGTTTTTCCTCAGAATCATAGTGCTGCTGTTGAGAAAAAAATATTTATTTCAGTTACATTGTATATCATTAAGTCACACACTAGTAATAATCAAGATTCACCAGTCTGAGGCCTTTTTGTCTGCATAAATTGGTCTGTTTTTACTCATTATCTGAACAGTTGTACTTGTTATAGTTGATGCATCTCGAGTGTCACCATATGCTCCTCTAACCGCTCTTATATCTGTGCAGGGTGGTTTGACATCGACGAGGACAAAAACACCAATGTCTACGTCTCAGGTCGGTGTTTCTGCATTATTCCCGTGGCGTCTCTTCCTCTTTGCTGACGTGTTCCTCTCTCGCTCTCCGACCCCCGTCCTCAGGCCTCCCCCCGGACATCGGAAACGACGAGTTTGCCGAGCTCATGTCCAAGTGCGGCATCGTCATGAAAGACCCCATCACAGAGGAGTACAAGGTCAAACTGTACAAGGACCGAGAGGGGAACCTGAAGGGAGACGGCCTCTGCTGCTACTTAAAGGTAAACACTGGGTTGGGGTCATGGTCATTATGGCTGCACACGTGTGACAGATTCTAGATGTTAAGTAACTACAAAAAATATAAGTAATGTGTATAGGGCTGTAACTGTTATTTTGATAATCGATTAAAAGTGACGTCAACTACCTAAATTGTTTTTCATTTTTAAAAGATTGCAAATGTCTGACCATGTGACACTGTACTATTATGGACAGTTTAGTATTTTTCAACAATATAATAGTTTATCCAATGACCCGGAGCCTCAACGATTTGAATGAATTTTGACCAATCAGGAAGCTGTGTGGGTGAACATGGGCGGGTCTATTCAGTGTCACTCTCCCAATTCACAATTCGATATAATTAATTGATATTCACTTTTATCTTGCAATTATTCCCTCGGTTTATGTGGTATTTTATCTTTGGTTGTCTCATAAAAGCTAAAAAAAAAAACAGCACTGCTATTGCCACTTTTTTATTGTACATAATCTATCCTGCACATATTATATTTTTAACCTTTAACATGTTTGCACACTTCTGTCTTTTGCACAATCTGAGTGATTCTATCTATGCCAAATGTGACAAGTCTATTTTATCTTATCTTAAGTGAGGAAGGTAGGTACCGCACCTTTAAGGGTATTTGTCTGTATTTGTCATTACTACATTACTACTATTACTACTATCCAGATGGTGTACAGTTACAATGTTGATTTTTGAGCTCCCGGAGTCTTCCTCGTTCCAAAACTCACTCGTGTTTTGACTTTTGCAGAAAGAGTCGGTGGCGCTGGCGTTGCGTCTCATCGACGAGTCTGAAGTGCGCGGCTACAAACTCCACGTGGAGGCGGCTCGCTTTGAACTGAAGGGAACGTACGACGCCAGCAAGAAGAAGAAGAAGAACAAAGACTACAAGAAGAAGCTCAAGCAGCAGCAGAAGTGTGTGCTCCGTCTCAGTACTGTGTAAACCAGGGCTGTTCAGACTCCACCCACTTTCTCATGTCTGCAGGTTAAGATTGGACCATAGATTGGACCATAGACGGACAATACTAACCCGCTAGCTCAATGAAGCCCAATAGGGAGGTTCTTGTGGACCAAGTAAACTTCTCTAGCTCAGTTACCGTTTGTGTCACACTCAAAATATTGGGCTTCAAAAATCCGTAGTTTAGTGCCTTCTATGATTCTGGTGTTTATATTTTGATATCGTCTTTGTGAATCCAGATATGACCCATAGATATTGACCGATCAGATGCCTTCATTCATAGGGGAAACTCCAACCTGCCGTAGCAACCATCTTAGCAACACGTCTGCCAATGTTAAGACCCAACAAATGCCCGAAATTGGCTTGGCACTCGAGGAAATGAGTGGAGGCTTGTGGGCTCCTGCTATGTTGGAATGAAAACCTGCAGCCACTCCGGACCTTTTGAGGCCCGAGTTGAATAGCCCGGGTTTAAACCTTTGTCTTTGTCTGTAGGATGTTGGACTGGAGGCCTGAGAAACAAGGAGATGTGAGAAAAAGACACGAGAAAGTTCTGATCATCAGGAACATGTTTCATCCCAGTGACTTTGAGGTAAAAACCCGGAGTGAATGGAGTTTTCTGTAGAGCATAAACGGTTTTCCTCTTTTTAATCCTATTTTATTAGTTTTGCTGCTACTTGACACATGGGGCCTATGGTAAAGATTTCAAAACACTACACAAAGATGGCAATGAAAAACAATTCTTACAATGCTTAAAGGTGACCTATGATGTAAAATCGACTTTTCTCTGCGTTTGACCACGTTAGATCGTATTATATTGTTCATTTTTTTATGATATCTATGAGGGGAGAATCACAAAGGGGAAAATTAGCAAATGATTTTAGTATTTACTTTGAAATTCAAGCCAAATCAATCACTCCATTCACAAAACTTAATGCAATACTTTACACAATTGCAATTTATTTTCATGGTAAAAGTTTTGACTGTTTTGACAATCTACACATTTAAGTCATATACACAATACACACTTTTGATTTTCCCATGCTCCCTTTTTTTATTGCATGTATTTAGTCAACAATTTCTGTGATTTGACTCCAGTTCTAATGATGACAAGGTTGCTATTTTCATTTATGCCAAAATGCCTTAGGATTAAGACTAATCAGCAAAGTAAGTACAGAGCATAGATGGCAGAGAGTTGGATGAGAGAGTTGGATGATGCTAACCCACTAGCTCAATGAAGTTCAATAGGGAACATTTTGCTCCAACCCCAAGACTCTTCTAGCTCAGTAATAGTAAGATCTGTGGTTTAGTGCTATATTCAATGTTTTGATATTGTTTTTGTAAATCCAGATATGAGTCATAAAGATTGACCAATCAGAGGCCTTAATCTGCAACTGGGAAACTCCAGCTTGTCCCAGTCACCATCTTCGCAACACATCTTCCCCTGTTATGGCGCGAAGCTAAGGCAGCCGAAACAATATATAATGACACTGGCCGCAGCTAGCGAAGAGATCGCTCTCTTCCACATTATGGCTAACACCATGGTGACATCAGCACTCACTCAGTCCACTCCTAACACACATTTAGTGAAAATGAAGAGGGCTAATGGTGTGATGGATGGAGTCTTGAACGCAAAACCGAAAATTGTTCAAACGTGCACGAATCGCTCTTATAAAAAAAGTCGATTTTGCACAAGCGTCCCCTGCCTGACGTCCCCACAGCTGACCGTGTGTGTTGCTTTGGCAGGAGGACCCTCTGGTGCTGAACGAGTACAGGGAAGATCTTCGAACCGAGTGTGAAAAGTTTGGCGAAGTCAAGAAAGTCATCATCTTTGACGTACGTGTAGCTCCTGGGAATGATGCGTTCGAGGGTGTGGCCTGAGAGGGGTTGATGCTAATGTGACTGTTGTGGATCAGAGGCATCCGGACGGCGTGGCCTCGGTGGCGTTCAAAGATCCGGATCAGGCCGACGCGTGTATGCAGGTGTTTAACGGCCGCTGGTTTGGAGGACGCCAGCTCTCTGCCGAGCCCTGGGACGGTACCACGGACTACCAGGTAACAAACAAAACAAAACTACAATCAATGAAGGTTTAGCAATACGTTCATGTGAAGGACAAAAAGCCAGTCACGATGATAGATACGTGGATGTTTTATGCTAGGGTGGCTAACTTTTGTTGTGAATACACAATACATGTAAAAGAAACGAGTGAAAGTGAAATGTGGACAAACACTCCCCCCTCGCCTCGCCTCTCTATCAAACCAAACATCCAGAATTTTCTTTTCTTTGTCACAACAGGGAGAGTGGGCGGCAAACGTGAAATTGGCATTTTCTGTTCAGCGATTTTAAGTTTTAGAAAATAATCCGATAACTCAGGTGCGGACACTCGCGAGAAACAGGAAGAGGGTGAAGGGGTCCGCTCCAAAATATTTTATTAATTTTTGCCAATAGTCGCACTTAGTTTAGTTTTGTTGTTAGGCTGCTCGTGCTTCCCGTTTCTCCTTATCAGATTTTAATGTCTGCAGCTCTCTTCGGCACTGAACCAAAACCTTAATTATGTTTTCTTTCTTATCTGGCCTTTTTAATGAAACCAAACTTCCTGAATGATAAAGGTGTGTTAATAGAAAATGACCAGGACTATACAAAGAAGAAAGCAACGACTTACAAAGAATGCAAACGACTTAGCATAGCTAGCTGTTTTTAGCTTCACTAGTTTTCTACTTTAAAAAACTCAAACTATGAAACTAAGCTGTGGAACTATTTATCTCATCATCCACATTCCACAATCTGCAATGTAAACAGTATATATTTTATTTTTATATTCAATTATAGATTCAAATATTTCTATATAAAATGTATGAAAATGATTTAGGTCAGGCAAGTTTATTTGTATAGCACAGTTCATACCCATGGCAACTCAAAAGTGCTGAACAAAACAAGATCGTAATCTCACATCTTCAGGAAGACTGTTCCAGATTTTAGCTGCATAAATCTGAAGTTCTGCCTCCACATATTTAGTCCTGACTCTGCGCCCCAGCAGGAGGCCAGTCCCTGTTGGCCCTAACATGTCTTGGATACTTTGGTGCGAGGCCATGGAGAGATAGGTTTTGAGTTGTGTACCAATCAAAGAAGTATTATTATCATTCCCTTTCTCTTCCACAGCAAAAAAAACATGTCTATATTTCTATAATGCATCACAAAACACATGTCTTCAATCCTTTTTCAAATCCTCAGGTTGAAGAAACGTCGCGAGAACGTGAGGAGCGCCTCAAAGGCTGGTCCACTTTTCTGGAGGTCGGCGAAAAATCCCAGAAGGAAGAAGGCGCAGACAAGCCGCCACAAGAGGGCGCCACCACCATCACCACCTCTACCACCATCACCACCAACACTGAAAACAGCACTGAGCCTGAACCCAAAGCAGAGAAAGCAGGAGCCACACGACGGGAGAAAGAGGAAGACATGGACTCCACCGACAGCAGCCTGGCAGGCAGTGACGAGGACGCCTAAACCTTTCACGCTTTCATTTCGGACATTACCTGGACACGGACGCCTTGTGGTTTCATAGATTTTTTTTGATTTATTTTGGCCTGGATCTCACTCATCATTTCATCCACTGTGTCCTGGCCTCAGAATGGGTTTAGTTTGCAGATGTGGTGGCGGACGATTCAAAACTCTTTGTTTGATTTTAGTTTTATAAGCAAAAACATGTCAACAGTGTTTCTCATAGAAGACTGTGGTGAGCCGTTTTTAGTCTTAAAAACAAGCTAAATGAAAATGTATTGTATAATAAAATAATTGGTCATAACAATAACAATATATACATAAATACACAAATAATGATAAATAGGAAATGTGACTACTTCATAAATCTGTATGTAATAAAATAATTCAATATAGATTTTCACCATAGTTTTTCTTTGAATCCAAGGGAGACACTGTTGTATTAAGCTAATACTGAAAAGGGATCATTTATGCCGAATTCTGTATTTGGAATTGCACTGGGATTCTTGCATGGAACATTGACTTTTATAGAAAATGTCTGTATTGTGTTAATGTAGTTTTTTCTTCTCTAACAGACAAAAGAAAAAATAAGTGACAGGGCAACCCCAGAGTTAAAAAGCCTTTAATTTGACAAAAAAATAACAATTAAAAATCAGTTTCATTTTCAGTGCATAGAGAACATGTCAGCTGTATAGGCTTTAGTGCAGGAGTGTCCAAACTGTGGTCCAAACCAATATTCTTGGTCCTCAGACTTCCTGGTAAAAGTTACAGTGAAGTGAAGTTCTTTTTTTACTAGAATTTTAACTCTCATAAAAAGACACATTTTCCAAAGACATTGTCCCTTCTCTAAAAGAGGTTTGGAGTCGTAAGCTTCAGCTCAGAGCAAGAAGCTTCTTTACAATCTGTGCCTTCAATTCCACTGTACCATTTTAAGGACGTAAAATCACAGTTCCACCACTAGATGGAGGCATTTCACCACTACTCTATGTTAATGTTTGCCCATTTATTTTATACTCAAGAAATGTAAGAAAAAATTGAAAAGTAAAAATGCTCAACATTATGTTCAGTGGGATAAAAAAAAGAAAAAAAACACAATTGCAATATTGCATTATAATTGTTTTTTGATATTTGGACTGAATTTCTCAAATCTATCTAGTTATGGTACTAAAAAACAGAACAATTTACAGAATTTTTGTATTTTGCATCAGTCTGTGTAGCCTCCAGTTGTTATTGTTGAATATACAGCCCTTGAATAAAAAGGTTTGGACACCTCTGCTGTAGTGTCTCTGTCACTGAAAACCGAAAAAATCGTGGTGTTTTTTTTTTATGTTAACACTTTTCAAGCCCTGGCGAAGTTTGGGTTTTTGAAATGTTTTTGAAATAGGAAAGAGTTTGGATCTAAATATGATTATCTTTATAAAACGACCATAAGACTGTGTGTCTTACAGAAACATGCATTAGGGGCAAAAGATGATCCTAAATGCAAATGGCGAATAAAATGAATCTGAATCTGAATAAAAATTCTTAAATTTGACTTGACCAATTACATGTGTTTTTGTAGTGACCTCATTCCCAACAGAAGTTGTCTCAGATGACTTTTAATAAACCATATCTAACAAATAACAGATTTTCTGTAAAATGAGTTGTTTTTGGATTTGTCTTTCAATTCTTTACATACGGTGCATTATTTCACATAACGGCAAAAGTAGTAAAAGTACATTTTTGTCAGATTTACAGCAGTGAAGTTTTAGTTCATTTGCAAAAACGGATCAACATGTTTTATTATTGGCAGTAAATGTGAACGGATTTGCTCAAAAAGGGGAGAATCTGTGGCACTAAAATGGATCTGGCTTTTCAAAAAACATGTTTTGGCTCTCTTTCTCTTTTGTCTCTCTTTCTCACTCTGGTCTCTCTCTTTCTCTCTCTCCAGAGAGAGACCAGAGATACTGTAGAGTCTCTACAGTATCTCTGGTCTCTCTCTGGTCTCTCTCTAGTCTCTCTTTCACTCTGGTCTCTCCCCCTCTGTTTCTGGTCTCTCTCTGTTATCTCTAGTCTCTCTGCGCTCTCTCTCTCTCTCTCTCTCTCTCTCTCTCTCTCTTGCCCTCTCTCTAGTCTCTTTATGCTCTCTCTTTGGTCTCTCTCTCTAGTCTCTCTTTCACTCTGGTCTCTCTCCCTCTGTCTCTGGTCTCTCTCTAATCTCTCTCTCTCTCTGTCTCTCTCTCTCTCTCTCTCTGACTTTTTCTGCACTAAGAAAAATCTTCCTATAAAGACAAAAGATCTGCAACAGTTGTATTATTATAAACTTGGTGATGATCAAACTACTCCCACAGCAGCTTTGATTAGAATAGATTTAGATAAGAGAATCTCAGATGGCCATTTTGTACTGTCTGGAACAGTAGAAAGCAGAAGCCAACTCATTCCTTACAAATGATGACTGTACTGTAGCTGCTGTTCTCTAACTCGGAAATTGTTTTATAAAGTAATAAATCCAATTATGAGCACAGGGGGAGGGCTGTTGTAATGAGGCGGAACCATCAAGGGTCTGGAGAGAGAGGCTGTGAATGGGACAAAGGTTATTACTACTTTGACACTGATTTTGGAAAGTTTAAGATGAAGAGATCCTTAGAACAGAATGAAGGAGGAGCCCACAGCACAATATAAATGACCAAGAACTGTGTACTAAACTAAATAATATAAAATCTATAACTTTAGCGTAAGAAGGAAGTAGAATTTTAAACTTAATTAGGCTTAGATTTTAGACTTAGACAGACTTTATTGATATTATTGAAGCATAAAATCTCTGACTTTTGCATAATAAAGAATCAAGTATAAAATGTCTAGCTATAGCATAATGAAGAAGCAACATCTCTGACTTTAGCATTATAAGAAGCAAGATACTGTATATTCTAGTGCAATAAATATATAGTTGTCTGTATACTGTACATCTGTATGTGTTGCACCCTTTTTTATTTTTTTCTTTAGCAGACAAACATATACAGAAAAAAAGAGAAAAAGAAAAGGCCTTGTTCAGATACGTATATTGCTTTCGTCACAGAGACAGAGATTACTAACAATATGTAGTTGGGGATACAAAAGGCAAAAGAAGAAACATGAAGTGCTTATAGATGAGAGGGGAACATGAATAATGAGATGGAGGGGGGGCAAATGCTGAAAGTAAAACAGACAATACTAACAATATACAGTCATAGATATACAGGGAGCAAAAGAAGAGACAGAACATGTAGTACATATTTACTTCATTACAGGTGGGAGGAGAACATGAGGTACAGGATGGAGGGGTTAGATATTAAAAACAAAGGAGACAATGAGAATGAGGGGGAAAGGGAAATAGGATGTTTTATCTATGGTCATAAGGATGATAATAACGCCAGTAGATTATTATTATTACTATCCCTATGGGCTATATGCACGGGGAGGCGTGACGTCATTTCCTGTTAACAACGCACAGCCCGTCCACTTCCTGTCTATGCTATCCTATGGCTTTTAGGTGGGTTTTAGTGACGTTTTTTAGTAATTAGATTGATACATTCAGCTGTGAGACTGACCCAAAAGTGTCGCTGTGCTTTCTCTCTGAGGTAGAGCTTTGACTGTGGCCACTCAGAGCGATTTTTAAACTTTATTAAAAGACAATGACAGCTCAATCAAAGAGCACTGTTGTGTCCCAAAAATGCCCATTATCCTCACAGTGTAATTCCCGTTTGAGCATTTGTGAGATTTCATAACACTTTTAAGCAACTTTTGTTAAAGTTAAACTCATCATTCTATCAATGTGCAGAAGCCAGTACTTTTCCCTTGTTTTGTCTATCTGAAGGCCAAGCTACTGGCACCGTGGCAGCTGCTGATTGGAGGTCTCCATGCCTCCGCTCTGTATAATACACTTGCATTCTCTTGTATCTGTGATCGTGTGCTTTGATCGTGCTGTCTCTACCATCGACAATAAAACATGTCTTCTGTCTGAATTTATGACACGATCCCAGACTATGTCATCTTCTTCACATTATTTGGGAAACTCGTGTAAACCACTGCTGAACTCCAGTAAATTCAAGCCGTTTCCCGCGAACAGGAAGTGAAGTGGGGTAGTAGCTAAAACACGGAAATGGTAGAGCCCATTGTCACTTTCATTACCACCACTACCACTTTGTTCATCATTTTCATAATGACACCAAGATGTGTCCACACAGACACAAAGTCTGCCCACCTGAGTTTCACCAAGCTAAGCAGATCCCAGCCAACTTCAAGACCAAATCCGACACACACTCAGACCCCCGGGCGGGCCCCGACTCTAAAGGGGGGAAGCCAACGCCCGGCCCATTCCCTCTCTTGTTTTGTTCCTTTTCCCAAGTGTTTTTCTAAACTAGATGTGTCTTGCATAAAAATAAGCATTTTTCCCCCCTTAAAATCAGTCTAAATCTGTGTGATGGTACCCCACACACACACACATGTGTACGTAAATAATAAAAATAACAATAATAATAAAAACAACAATACAATACATTACACACACACACATATGTACGTTAATAATAATAATAACAACAATACAATACATTACTATTAGTGTAAGCAATATCTTTTACGTTGTCTTCTTGGTTATTATTTCGGGGGGCCGCGAAGACCTGTCAGATTTTTAAGGGGGCCGCGGTGTTACTGACTTTGGGAATGGCTGGGTTAATGCAATCCAGAGTGTTTGTACCGGGGGACAGTGCCAAGTGGCATGTGAATACGTGTCTGTACTATCCTGATTGCAATGTGTGCAAATATCTGTGTCTACTAATTTCATTTTATTCCGCCGGTTCTGTGTATGGAGGACCAAAACTGTCAAAATTATAAATAAATGAATAAATAAATAAATGTCACATTCTGCCAATAATTATTAAGATAACACAACAAATCATGCGATTTAATAAATACATATTATTATTATACGTTTTTTTGGTTTCAAACAAAATAATAAAGCTTTATTATGTTCCTGTTCGTTCAAAGGT